TTTCCAACATACAAGACGGACCATGAACTTATGACTTGAATTTGGACCTGGCGTAGTGTTACTACGTTAATTCATCAGTATATATGTATTTTGCGCAAAGGATATTGTAGATCGACGCTTACATGCGCATATAAACTATTCACCAGTGCTGTAATATTTAATTCATTTGTTTTTGGTACATAAAGATATGACCATGAAGAGTCTGTCTGAAGAAATATAGACATGCATGGGATCTTTTGGATCGTTGTACTTCACGGTTAGACAAACGCTTAGTCTCTGAAAATACATTTTTTTGGTTAAAACGAGAAACTATATTTAAATTTAAAAGGAGCCCAAGTGAGATGGAAATTTCAGCCTGAACCCGTTGAACATCTAGGCTTGTTTCATTTGGGGCTACAGCATTGCAGTAAGGCCTGGGCGGAAGGGAAAATAATATGGTTCAGGGACTGTGAGACAAACTACATCACGGTCTGTATCGCCGTCGTGATCTTTAGAGAAACGAAATTAGAGCCATCTGAGACAGCCACTCGACACCTGTTGCACCCATCAGATACCAGTCACTACTGTCACTACTCCTCTCTCCAAACGAAAAAAACCCCGAAAAATGTCGGAAGTGTATATATTTAATCCTTCTAATTTACTATTTAGATACATGATTTAACTTAAAAGTAATTATATAGATATCTGTGATGCTGGTACCGTTTTGTCGCCATTGTGTAGCTATTGTGGAGTTATTATGAATATCAAATACATGTCTTGAAATATAGACTTGTAAAAGAGTTCAAAGAACCATATGCAGCCATTTAATTGGCGTGTATGGATATATTATCCATTTACTTATACACACTTATTATGGACATATACAGAATTTCATTGTACCTTATTATTGAAAAAATACCCGTGAAGATCCGGGTTAGAATAGGCCTTCAACAACCCATGCTTGTACTAAGGCGACTAACGTAATCGGGTGGTCAGGCTCGCTGACTTGGTTGATGCATGTCATCGTATCCCAATTGCGTAGATCGGTGCTCTTGATGTCAATCACTGGATTGTCTGGTCCAGACTGGATTATTTACGAACCACCGTCATATAGCTGGTATATTGCTGAGTGCGGCGTTAAACAACAAACAAACAAATTCTATTATTAAACACCTTCCAACAATGATAAATTAAACTCATATTTCTATATTTTCTGTTATATTTATAACATAATTTGATTCATAATTTAATTATTGTGTTGCTTTTTTCCCTGTCATTCAATGTACATGTTCAACCCCCTAAACTTTTAATATTTCATTTTTCACAAATAGCTACGTTAGTGAGTTGCCTAGATCTCTCGTTACCTACTCACACGAACAGATTAAAATAATTTGTTTTACTATCATATTTCTGTTTATCTAATTCATAATACGAAATTGATAATTCATTGATCACAGTATAGATCATATTCGTTTATATCACTATCTGATGCTAAGGTTTTATTGCAGAAATTATAATTAATTCAAAATGTAGAAAGATACACAATTTGCCATTATTTGACTTTTAAACTGTACAAAGTATAATATAATGATCAGAATGCCTGTAACGGGTAGTATTTAAGAAAGAAATATTTATCGATAAGTCCCAATTTTCAGATATGCCCTTCAGTAGTATTATTGTATATCTCCAAAGAGAGGTTTACATTGTTAGTTATTATTATTCGTGGATAATTCAAAAAGCAACATAGAAAATATATATGCTACCATGACGAAAGAATACAGAGTATACATAACTCGCAATTCTCCAAAAGAGATTTCAAATCACAATAACATATCTGATATAAAGAGAGGTGGTAATGATTTAATCTCTACATTGTGCCCTTGTTCGTGAGCCCTTGTTCTATTCAGCAAACAGCCCAAAACCGAAACTCCACAACATATCCGATTACACTGATTCAGGCTGTCCCAGTTCTCCATGCGATACTGACGCCCGTTCGTCTCCAAGACCATAGAGAATAAATTTAAAAGGAATCCAGCTCAAGTCTAGAACGATTTGGCAAGCCTAGATTGCCTCAATTCTATCCATGAAAGTAAGCATTAATAAAAAAATATTGTTCTTGTCTGCTTCAGACTATATTTTGTAGAGACGTATTTTTAACTAGGAAAATTGTACTGACACCGCCGCTGTTCCTATTGAAGCTATTTATAAGAATTTCGAATTGTCGTCCATTGTTCGATGTCAGTATATCGATGACAAGTGAGGATATCATAAAGTAATCGTTGATGCCGCGCTACACTATAATAAAAATTATAATCAAGTTGACTGGTGTGTACATTACTACAGTGAACATGTACATGATCATGCCCTAATAATCAAATGCCGTAATGTCAAATACTAATATATTATTGTGTGATGAATTTTACTGGATCAGTGGTAACATGTGATATTAATATTCCATCAATTTCTCTCCTGGCTGGTCCATCCATGTCTACAAAATGAACATAATACAATTAAAATGAAGCCTAGAACAATTCTTAATTTCAGGCTAGGGCTGTGGAAATCTAGACTTTCCCAATCATTATAGACTTGAGTTGGTCTCATTTTTTACATTATTCTCTTGGGTCAACGCCACAGCTCATACCATACACTAACAAGACCAGATTGCCCCCCGCCGGAGCTCCTGGGTTTTGGTTATATCATCTAACATGGCCAACTCTGCTTTTAAGTAAACAAGAACCTAATCAGCGAGGGGTCCTTTATCATCCCTGTGACTGCTTATAAAAATCTGATATCTCTTCCCAAAGACCTGGTTAATAATATATTTTCTGCTGAATATTCGAAACAGAGTGAGTAAGTTTGTACTACCAGAGACCATATAATCTATTATATGGTCTCTGGTACTACATATGTTTACGGTTCTATTTTAAATGACTGCAGCGCTCCATTATGAAAACAAATTGTTTTAACGCCGCTCTCAGCAGTATTCCAGTGATATATGACGGCGGTATGTTGTATATGAAATAAATGCAAATTGAATCTTGAATCTTGAAAGTTGTAACATTTCCGCTAATAAGTATCACATGCAGTATACAGTATATCAACTGCAATATACTGTATACAACATTCAGTAGACAGTGTGTCGCGAGCTCTGCGCTGGGCTGGAGCACACATTTCCTACCCCTCTCCCTTCGGCAAACACCTCATGAGGATTGCAACGAGGTCACAGGTCAGGCGTGCACTCGTCAGTTGTCTAATGCAGTCAAAAGTAAGATCTTCCGGAAGACCACTGCACTAGAGGTATGTGGATTGTTGATGAGGTACTACGTGTTTGGAAATGGGAGTCGAACACTAAGCACTTTTAGAGAAGAGCTCACAATAAAACGTTATGGACTCGAGGACGGGCATCATTGTGTGTTTCCGTGCTTTGTTCAGGTGAACAATTGACTTGTCCTTGCATGTGTTTGTGACGGGTGCCACTTGTGTGGCAGGATACGCTCACCTTTTCCCGAACACCCGTTGGATGGCCTGAACCAATTCGGATTTTAATCCCACATCAGTCTGTACACCGTGATATAACTGAAATACTGTAGAGTTGAAAATGGTGTTTAATGCGATTACCGTATATATATACGCGTAGTGTGTTACTGCAACTGTTCAAATGTTGTGCAGTGCTGTTATGTAATATGTAAAAGAAAGCATATTCAATTATCCAATTGATTTGAATAGAATATACTTGCGTCAGTGTATTTTATTAACGCCCCAAACCGTAATTTAAACACATATAATAACAGATCATATACACGCATGGTGCCTTGACTTACTGCTAACTTTAATAGGCCATCCCGGATTAAAATAGTTCCCCCTCCCCCCCCCCCCCCCCCATGTTTTAGTATGTTTACAAGAAATATATTCCAAACAATATCCTCATTAGATGAGAAGATATTTTTCAGAATTACGTCAGTAAGACAATTACAATGACAGAGCGTCGTAATACATTTACATCAAGTACAATACGTCAAAATGGCCGACACGATAAACGTGACGGGAGATATTCCCGAAGTTGTTAATTAATCTGTGGCTCTTTCAAGCCTGTGTCATCACTGATCAATTGGCCGATCGTTGAAAGGTGATTGTAAAGATGTGTCAAATAGATACTAAGGTAAATTCATAGATTGCTGTAGATTGTCACTACGATAGTTTGGATGTTTTTTTCGTTTGTTTTTTTTCTCTGGGATTGGTTGTAGCGAGGGTATCCTTAAACGGGCATGCAACCACGCTTCTGTATGAATTCGTACCAGGGAATTCCAATGGTTTCCCCAGGAATGTGGAAGTAGTCAGTGTTTACGCCATTTCAAGAATACAGTCACGTGAAGAACGTCATGTGACCGACCTCTCGTCCTAGCCGTATATCTTGTAAACTTCACATTAAAAAATTAGTTATTATTATAACCAAATGAAACACAACCCATTATCCGATAGGGGTAACTGTTCATAGCCGAGGGATATGTTACCACAATAAACTTGGTAACATTGTTTGGTTTGACATCTTGGCGCGTGCCTGAATTCCATTAAAATGTTACATATCCTAAAACTGGCTTATCAGCAAATCTCGCTGCACTCTGCGCGACAGATACTAGAGCAAGGCTTGCCAGAAATACGAAACCTAAAGCTTTCGAAAGGAAGCCTTAGGAATCACGTGCGTCGGGGGACCAGTGCCATCTGATTGGCCGTTAACAGTTGTACAAGGCGGAGCAAAAAGCATCGTTTTTCCGTCCATTTTACCCTTGAAAAACTCGACCCTTTTCTGCACACTTTCTAGACGCTCACCAATTAATCAATTTTAAAGAATTTTTAGTCGTTTTTCCGTCCAATGACCATATACGGGAAAAAACGACGTTTTCGTGTTTGCAGTGTATATAATGAGAACAACTCTTGAACCCCATTTCACCTCCCCCCATTGAATTCTAGCTTCGAATAACAGTTTATGTTCACATTTATGATCGTCGCTTTTTCTTTCCAAGTTCTGCCAGACATGATGGATCACGCTAACCTTGACCGCGTGCTGAACACACTGAAGTGGTATGGGCGGTACCAGGTGACCCAGATGTGTCTCATCTACGCGTCCGTCCTGCCAGGGTCACTCAACATCCTCGCATACATCTTTGTGGGTAAGTCACGTCTACATATCAACACATTCTACCATGACACGAAAGAGTGCTTGATCCTGATTGGTCAACAATGGATTAATATCAGGTATCCAACTCCATTCGATACTTCAAAATTAACATGCCTTTTCACACAAAAACCTTGCATATGAAAAGATCGATCTATCGATAACCTACGCTTGAATGCATTTAAACAGCTCGTAACAATGGTTGCGGATAACCTGTTAGACTTACATTCCATATCAGAACAACATCTTAGGAAACGTGATGAACTCTATCTCAGAACACACACAATTACGTAAAGCACACACTAACCACTGTGACTGGGTCGTGCGGTCATCGGTCACAAAAATGAGCAGTCTGGAGCTAAAAACGGCGGTATTCAACCATATTTCAGGGTGGTTTCCGTTGGCAATGAGCTTGTGCCAGCAGGCGCAGTCCCCGAGTAAATCAATTTGTAAATCCCTCTGTCACTGTGAATAACTATTTTGGTCAAGTTCAACCCCGTCGAAGTCATTCTAAATATGCAGTGCTGTTAAACAGGTTACCAATTGGTACAAACATAGAACTTCAAAATAACTCAATCACTGTGATTTAAAGTTATTTGGGAACAAAATTATTTCAGCGCTTTATCACTATTTATATAACGAATATAACCCCTGCAATGGAAGCAGTTGCCCCGAGTTACAAGAAATGACCCGATTGAGGCCAAGCAGTTCAAATATGCCACAAGAATATATATCTGTGAAGGGTTATTTCCTCATTTCTATCTCAATTCAGCGGTTCATTGGTTCGAATCTTCTCTTCTGATTCAAATTGGTATGAAGCAAAAATGCATCCGCCAAACAAATTCTGACAAGTTAGACATTGAAAATAGTGGCTACCGTTGGTGGCTTATCTTCGATGTTGTGTTTGCTTTTGGTAAAGAGGAACCGAATCTAGAAACGATGGCAAAAAAGTCTTGAAATGAATAAATGGAATCGATAGAGGATAAATGATTGGTTTGTAATATTCAGTAATTTGACCTCACGACACATGTGCTCATTGTCTGATATGCTTCTTAACGAGTCAAAGTGGTGACTCGGGGCTTGAACACCTTAAAAAAGGACATAGTGCGATCTTGAAATTGAGTTCAGTCGCTCCAGTTGTGACGAGCCTGTCCGGTCCAGTAAGTTGTGTATTCAGAGATCGACTGGAGTTTACTTAAGTTAATGTGGTATCAAACCTTTTTGTTGTTTTCATCCGTGTAATGGTGTGCGGCAGTACAAGAATATTTATGCAGATAATAAGGTGTAACGTCTTCGGATCCATCGCTCCCGGACTCTCACGTCCATGCGAGTTGCAGATTGATGTCTTAGACAGCCAATGGCAACACGGAACGGCATTACCCAAAGGTAGCTCCTAAAGGGTGCAACCCCAAAGCCCGTTGCAACAACCCTACTCATGCCACTTGCTTCTCCAGGTTATGATGCCCCACACACATGCAGTGAGGTGAGCAACACATCTCAGTTGGGTCTGACTGTCCGGAACGGCAGCAGCATCAGATACAGCGAGTGTGACATCTTCGTTGACACCAACTCAAGCCAGGGCATCCTGACTGACCGTACATACTGTGTAGCCGGAAACGCCTACCTGGAACACAAGCAGGTCTCCATTGTGTCGGATGTAAGTGTATGCCTGAACCTCGGTACAGACTCCTTCAACAGTTGAACATGTCCATAAATAATGTGTTATTACGTCGTTCATTGAACCAAATCATTTGTCTTATACATCAACATTGATACTTCTTATCAGGCGTTCTAGGAAGGAGCGTATAGGGTTTGCAAGTAAGCGAGTGAGTGCATGTGTTTTTATGCTGCTATTCCAACAATAACAATTATGACAACATCCATTTTGGGAATAGAGGTGAGGTGAAATTGGGTTTAACGTCGCGTCCAAGATTATTGCACTTATATAGCGACGTGCATGCACGTGTATGTGTGTGTGTGGCTGCTTGTACTAGTCCGGACTGATGCCGATTTATAGTGCTAGCTCACTGAGATACCATGCCGCAGTTTAACATGAATACCCCACTCAGACACAGTATACTGACTCCGAGCCGACCAGTCCTTGTTTTAGCCCCTTAATGCCGAGCGCCAGACAGGGCAACAACAAGTACAATCTTTTAACGTCTTTTTGTATGACGCGGCCCGGGATCGAACCCTGGACCTTCCGCTCTCCGGGCGGACGCTCTACCACTAGACCACGGAGGCGGTCTTTTTGGGAATAGAACCTGCAGTTCATCAGTGTGACGATCGAACATGTTAAACCCTGGACCAGTTAACCCTGTGTGAGGCAGTACTTGGGGTTTTGTAAAATTTGAGCCACGGTGAGAGAATGCAGAAATAGTTACATGTGTGTGTGTCAATGATCTTATGAAAGAAATGCCAGAATGTTTCAGTTGTATTTCCATGAATTCTGACAAGACCATTACGGTACTCGAATATAAGGATATCCTTCTTATCCTCTTATCCATAATTAATGAATAGCCCTGGCAAAGAAGCAGAAGTTGATAACACGACAGGATATTACACAACTCCCTGACATCACGGCGGGTGACACTGGGTTCCGTACATTGTGTCCATGACGGGTATAAAAATCCAGTCCTTCAGCGTGACGAGCGCACGTTCAACCACTAGGCTACAACCAGCCCCCCCCCCCCCCCCCCCCCCCCCCCCGGGCGATACTGATGCAATTCTTAAGTACTTTGAGTTAATGGTGAACTTGGTGAACTTATTATTATTCCAGTGGGATCTGGTGTGTGGGCAGGCGTCACTTTCGGAACTCACTCAGACGCTGTTTGTATTGGGGCAAGCCTCGGGCGCCATCTTGTGTTCGTCTCTCTCGGACAGGTTCGGCCGGAAGTGGACATACACAATCTCTTTGATGGGGCTGATGGTCTCAGGACTCGTTCTGTCTTTCTCCCCAAACTATGCCGTGTTCGCGACTTTCCGATTCATTGGCGGGATCTTCCAGCAGGTACGTACATTAGCTCCAAGTACAAATGCACGCAGTACGAGAATTGTGTATCGTAATAAACAATGGTCTTAAACATGTACAGAATCGTCATCAAATTGAATGTATGTACCCTATCACTTGGGTTCAAAACTGATACCTATTATACTCGTATTTAAATGCCACATTGAATTTCCTGAAAATGTGTCAATACAATTTTGATGATTACATGTATTGTTTTATCACATGTGAATTTGATTTTTTTGGAAGAGTAAAATATCTGAAAGTTTATGGGTAAAACCTTACACGGCTTTAAGGCAACATTCCAGCACCATCACGATGGAGACAGTTAACATGCTGCCTTATATCTATGTAGGGGACGGATCTGACCATAGCGACGATGATAATAGAGTGGGTACCTACAAACAAGAGGTTCAAAGCAGGCTCGGTCGGGAGTTGTTTGTGGGGTGTTTCACTCGTTACCCTCGCGCCCCTCGCATACCTCCTCCGTAACGTCAGCTGGCGATATCTGCAGCTCACGGTGGCCTTGACCGCTGCATTTTCCCTCATCTTGCCCTTGTAAGTATCGGTCCGGCAACGTGACCGTCAAACAATTTGTACCTTGGGGGGCTTTATTTGTAATTTCTACTGCATTCCTTCCATCAGCATTTCGTAGAGTGAGATTGCATTTTAACTGAACTCCAGTATGTTTTCCCTATCAATATCTCTTATTTCTTGCCTGATAATGATCAGCCTGTTTCTTTGACTAGCACACTGGATGAGACACTCAGGTGGTTGATGGCCAATGGAAAAACAAAAGAAGTGGAAAGATTATTGAAGAAGGCCGCCAAGATTAACAATGTTCCAATAGATGACGTGATGGCGTCGTACAGGTACTCGGAGGTGAAAGTGGCACTCAGCGCTTCAGACAAGGCCACTCGGGACATAGAGCAACTAGGGAACGGGATTGCCAATGGCACCCAGAATACGGTCGTTGAGGTTACTGTACACGACTGTACTGACGCCAAGGAGAATGGGATGGACGCTACTGTTGAGAACGAGGCTAAGACAGCGCTTCTGAATGCCCAGAATGAGAACAGTGTTGTGGCTCAGGCTGGAGAGACGAATGGCGACGAGGATATCACTGGAGAAACTCACAAGTCTACTAAAAAGTACAATCTGCTTGATATTCTGAAGAACAGGATGATTTTTAAAAACGCACTTATTGTGTGGTATTGTTGGTAAGTAATGGTTGAAAAATTCCACCTTTAAAACAAAACTTTTTCGACATTTTAAGGGACCTGGGGCCCGTTTCACAAAGAGATCGTAGCGCTAAGACGGTCGTAAGTCTATGTTAAAGTATACGAGTCACGGTAGTCGTAGCGCTACGATCGCTTTGTGAAACGGGCCCCTGCTTTCTTGATTAGAAATGACACGCTTGTCGCTGCTTCAGGGTGGTGGACTCTCTGGTGTATTACGGCCTGTATATGACATCATCAACATTGGCAGGAAACCGCTACCTTAACTACTTCTTCAACTCCGTGGTGGAAGTCCCGGCAGCTCTCCTCATCTTTTTGACACTCGAGAGGTACCTGTGGAATGGGTGGTGGTCAGTGCTGAGGGCTGGGTGGTGGTCGGTGCTGAGGGCTGGGTGGTGGGTAGGGGGTGGGTGGGGGCGGGCATGGGGGTTGGGCGGAAGATGTGGGTGGTTGCGGCTGGGGCACAGGGTAGGGATTGGGAATAGTTATGGGTGGGGCTCAGGGTAGGGGGGCTCTCAAGGTATCGATGAGGCTGGGTGGTGGGTGGGGTTGAGGATGGGTGGAGGTTGTAGCGGGTGGGGCTGAGGGTAGGGTGGGACTGGGTGGTGGGTTGGGCTGAGGACTGAGAGGTGGTTAGGGGTTGGGGCGGGGGTGGTGATGGGTGGGTTTGAAGGTATGGGTGGCTCTGAGGGTAAGGGTGGGGCTGGGTGGTTGGTGGAGCTGATAGCTGGGTTGTGGGTAGGGGTGAGGGTGGGGGTGGTGATGGGTAGGTTTAAAGGTATGGGTGGCTCAATCTTTCACACTGAGAATATGTCTCAAGCGGCTGCAAAAGCTGTTAACATCCGAGAATAGAAAAATCTGTTCGCAAATTTGCGAGGTTTCATGTTTTAATAGGAGAGGAGTTTCCTCTTTGTATGAGAGGACTAATCTGGTTATGTGGGGGGAATCTTAAAAAAGGTGTCACTTAAGCAACAGGAATCAACAGCGCCTTATCGTAATTGGCCATCAGTTTGTTATCTTCTTGAAGGTTTGGCCGGAAGAAGCCGTCGCTGATGTTTCACACAACAGCTGGAGTGAGTCTGTTAGGGGCCGTCCTGCTCAAGACATTCGTGGGTAAGCCCCTGCACGGGTCAGTGCTCCCCAGCCAGCATATGTACATGTGCAGGTACTTAAGGCCGTTACGGACAGTGCATAATATGAGCCCGGGCTAGGTTAAAACAAGATCATAGATCTCCTAAAGCCAAGAGATGCTATATAGCGAAGGCCGAACTAACTCTATTTCTGAGAGATGGACAGCTGCTCGAACGTATATAAACAGAGCAGCCAAGGCTAAAAATGAAATCATATCAATATAAGAAAATAGAAATCATATCAACGCAAAAACAGAAATTATGTGAACACCGAACTCACAATAGATATGTGGACCCTTCTCACACACAGGAGTCCCAAAGAGGGACAGGTCAGCCGAAATTGCTTAAGCAGAAGGCGACCTCTTAAACACTTAATGCAACAACAACAGTGCATAATAACATGTGCATAGCTGACCCTGTCAACTCGGGCCCACTCTGCGTTTTCTGTTACCTACATAATACCTCGGAAAAGACGGATAAGTTCGCAAAACATGACGGGAACAGTTGAGATTTGTTTATGGTTAATTAGGATATAAACATAGTTACTGTGTTTGAATTTGGAAACGAACGCGCAGCGTGAGGTTTCAAATGTTAAATTTAGCGGGGTTAAATCTACAGGTAACCTAGCTCTAAATTGAAAACACAGTATGTTTATCTCCATTCTATCATGACTAAATAAAACGCGAACTCTTTGGTGTTAGCAAATATACTGAGTGAAGCGGCATGGGTTGAGTTCAGTGTTTTGAGTGGGATAATTATCGATCTGAATTACGGAATCACCGAACAAGATATGGTGCTGTATATACTCAAGCAGTTTGTTTACACTGTAATACTTCACTCGAACATATGACAGGCATTGAAAGCATATAAGCAAGGCAACTTGGTAAGCTAACATGAGGTGGGCATTCCTAAAGAAAACAAAGCAAGCTTTGCAAGGCTTTCACTCACCATTATGACATCATATCGCTCATTGTGACGCAAAAGATATGACGTCACAGTCGTATATAGAATAACGCCCAAATTTCAAGCTCTCTCTTGTCTCCAAAACGTAAATACATTCCCTTTGTTGATTTCTGTCATTTTTTTTGCACGAAATGTTTTGCCACACATCCTTTGAATATTGTAGTAACCGCATCTGTGCATTTTGTAACCTGTAATTGTAGATACAGTTATTTAAATATGCCTACCGACAATGACTGAAAAGAGTACTATTCTATGAATATTAGCTTCCGCGGTGATGCGGCCGTCAAACCAGCTGTTTCAATCAAAGGGGGTTTATTGTGATTAAATAGCCTCTGATTGACCAATCAGAATCGAGTAAATTCCAAATTCATGGTAGAATATAGTATACCATTTAATATAGAAAAATATGTGTATAAATGTCAAGTCTACCGCTTCTAAATGCGTAAGAGATATCTGAGGGTGGTGAAAAAAGTCTCGGGTGACCTCCTTGTGTTCAGTTGACAGTCAGGCTGCCCAGATCGCCGCCACCATATTGTCCATGATCGGGAAGCTGACCATCACGACAGCATTCGGCATTCTCTTTATCTACACTCCGGAACTCTTCCCTACAAACCTCAGGTCAGTAATCCCTCAGTGATCCCACTGTTAAACACAGGAGAGCTCTCCTCTCAATCATTAGGACAGTGATCTCTAAATGCTCCAACACGAGGCTGCTCTCGTCACAGGTGTCTCTACCTGTCGTACCTGCGGCAGCCCAGCTACCTTCTGTAACCTGACAGCGTGTGTGTTTGCCTTCCAGGAACGTGGGTCTAGGTGCGGCGGCCTGTGTATCCAGACTGGGGGGCATAGTGTCACCATTCGCCTCAATGCTTGTAAGTAAGGCCCCGTGAATCTAGATTAAGCTTTAACCATTTCCGCTATCAAGTATCTCCAAACGCGTAAGAGACGCCTGTGTTCTCCTGTTGTCATGCCATGTCCCTCTGTTCCCTGCAGGAAAAGATGGTGGCCTGGGGCCCGGGAGCCATATTTGTGGTCATGTGCCTCCTTGCCGGCTTCCTCATCCAGTTCCTACCGGAAACACGTGGTCACGAGCTGCCGCAGACCATGGAAGAAATCAAGGAGTGGTACCGAGCCAATCTCCCCAACCAGAAAAAGAAAGACACTAAATACCGATAAATTCTGTCACCACCGTGGATCTACCGACTACCGAGTGGTGCCTTTCATATTATCTAACATCCGAACTGGACGTTCTACAGAGTCCCTGGGGACTGAAGATATGGATCCAGATGAAATTTACATTTGAATATTGTGAGCGAAAATTATGGTCTAGGTGTGGAAAAAGCTCTGTCTGTCAAATAAATAATTTTCATACAGTCAATTTTATGATATCTTGGATTCTGTCAAATGCGAACGTGCTGATTAAAGAGGTGGTGATGTGGGTATGAAATGGGGTTTACGTCGCGTCCAAGATTATTGCACTTATATAGCGACGTGCATTCGCGTGTGTGCGTGTGTGTCTGTGTGTGTACGTGTGTGTGTGTACGTGTGTGCGTGGTTGCTTGTACTAGTCCGGACTGATGCCAATTTATAGTGCTAGCCCACTGAGATACGACACAGAAGTTTAACATGAATACCCCACTCAGACACAGTATACTGACTCCGAGCCCCTTAATGTCGAGCGCCAGACAGGGTAGCAGCAAGTACCATCTTTTTGTGGGGTATGACACAGCCGGTGATCGTTGTCAAGACCTTTGTGTACATCGGGTACGGGTGTTCATCTTGTCCTGGGAAAGGTTAGGTGGCAACCAGGGCGAAACTGGATAATATGCAATGGCCGTAAGATCGCATGCCCAAGGGACGCCACTCTGTACAACGGATTTCGTGGCAGTGAAGGATTTAAGACATTGTCTGAAGCGCTCGTACAATATGAGAAAGTGTACGTCAAGGCCCTCAGTTGGTGGTGGCAGCATTTGAGGCAATAGAAGCGATCACTGTGAACCGTGAAAATGATCACACCAGTAGTGGCAACCCTGTTTCTGTGCCCCATGTATGCTCCATAGATGTAGTTTGGACTTTCTACGACAGAGATGTGTATTTAGCTCAAATATAAATAAAAGCGACAAAACCATTTCCATACAAGAAATCTCGACTTAAATCAGTTTCATCTTACAATTCCGATTATATCACGAGAATGTGTTTATGAATCAGTATCAAGTGGTGATGATTCCAGGTGTTCGCGAAACGGTGAGGGTATCCTGACCCACCGTATGCACCCGTCACAAACACATGCAGAGGCAAGTCAATTGTTCTGAAAAAAACCCACTGGAACACATGGTACAAGTACAAGTCGGGAAAACGCAATAAGATGGAATTTGTCAATGATGCGTCAAATTTGGAAATGTCTTCTACGTGTCAAATGTTTTTTTTTTGAAAGCTTTACCGAGGCCTTGAATGCTGTAACCCTGATCAAACGTTTGAGCAATAGTCGTATGACGCTCTTTGAAACCTTCGTAGAAAGAGCATGCTCGATTTCTACCTCAAAGGTTAAGTGAAAGGATCCTAAAACAATGAGTACCACCAACTGTGACGTCACACTAGTGTATCCGCAGCGACATCTCGGTTTCTAACGGCGGCGTCTGCGACGGACCGCAGCACCATCTTCCATATGCTGACTGGTGCCGCTTTCTTTGCGCTGAAGATTGTTCCATCTCCTCTGATGTCTGCTCTTGTGGACAACGTTTATTAACGTCTGAAGGGAATTTAATTTCCACTTTTGGAATTTCTTTTATTACAACCCCTTTAGATTCGGGTTAGAATTGATCTTCAGCAAGCCATACTTGTAAGGGACCGGGTGGTCAGACCCACTGACTTGGTTTGATGCATGTCATCGTATCCCAATTGCGATGATCGATGCTTTTGATGTCAGTCGCTGGATTGTCTGGTCCAGCCTCGATTATTTACAGATCGCCGTCAGACAGCTGGAATACTGCGTTAAATAAAAAACACCCACAAAGAACAAACAATCAAAATTGCTTCGACATTTCTTTGTACCCATGTCCGAACAGTTACCATGGGAAATGTACCGCAGCAGTATCAGAGTTCGACAGCCAAGAATGTGTAATGTCACTCTCCGTTTTTTATCTCAACAAAACCACTCACAGTGCTACACGGTACGATTCAGTAATTGTATGTACGAGTATATTACTCAACATTTGCCAAGGGCCCCATCTTTAACTAAATGTAACTATTCCTAAGGAAATGTTGATTGGTATATTTATATGAGGCAGTATCATAATACAAGGTATCATGATATGACCGTTGGCTAGTGAGCACTATTTTAACAGGACAGTGGTAGGAGCGAGTGAGTGAGTTCGGTTTAACGCCGCTTTTAACAATATTACAGTTATATCACGGCGTGTCAGCTTAATGTGAGAGGAAAGCCCGAGGTGATGCAGGTCTCAGACGTTTACCACTTCGGTGAAACCCACGAGCACGGGTATGGCGCTGACAAACCTAGAAACATAATCGGGGCGAACCGGGATTCGAACCCACAATCATAGGTTTCTGGCGTGCCCAAGGGACGCAACTCTGCACAGCGAATCGCGGCACCTTAGACGACTGGGCCACCCGCGCCAACGAATTAACTGAAAGTGTTATCAGAAGATGAGATATGTACTTATAAAGGCACACCAACGGTCAGTAAGGCGAGTGAGTGAGTGAGTTGAGTTTAACACCTTTTTAAACATATTATATATTTTTCATAGTGAAAAAAAGTTTAATACAAGTATATACCTTTCCTTTTAGAGATGAGGATAAATCATAGTGACAACTTTGTAAAAAGTGGTCTTTTAATGTCCGTTCTACGACAGAGAACAACAAAAAATATTATCAGGTACAACTTGGTTAGTCTAAATATATGGTAAGCCACATTCAACAAGAATGTTTTTAACAAAAGCAATCCAGGGTTGTTTATACCGGTTGTTTATATTTTCGGAATAAAGATTGATATACAATAACGGATAACTTATTTTGGTTTTCGGAAGTTAATATTTTACACCAATATGATTAAAGGAAAGCGTCCTGTTTCCCCACAGAGCATATAAGAAGGGGTACTTTCTGTTTACTGTAGTGCTAAGTCATAAACTTTTTATGAACCATTTCTAAAGGAGTAATATTGACATTTTCCCACACTATATAGCATTATTGGAAGAATCATGTGATGAAATGCCTTAAACAAACAATATTAGACCTTGACCCCTGCCTGATTATTTTATATATTTTTCTGAAATGTCATACCTAACAATACATATGTTATAACAATTTTTAAAAACCCTAAACTAACCTGAATTCTAAACCCTTGACAGGATAAACTACCAAGATATTACTCAACGTCATTTATGAATATAGAGAAAACAGAGGAGATAAATTTTCACCTTGTCAAACTCCTTTTTCACAACGGAAGAAGTATGATATTTTCTATCCCCAGATGAAAGACATGACTTAATATTGTCATACATATTATATATTACCTTTATAATTCTTCCAGATGTACCATATGACAATATGCCATAAACCTATCCGCCATACATTGTCAGACGTCTTCTTGAAGTCAATAAATACGCAATACACTTATTTGGTTTTTTTACAAAAGAATGTGCAATTAAACCCTTGAAGACAAATATATGATCTGTCGTTGCGTATTCCTTTCGAAGCCTTCCTGGGCATCACTTAAAATAGTAATACTTTCCACAAAATAAGTGAGGCGTAGATTTAAAACTGCCGTAAATAACTTTCCAAGACATGACAGAACAGTAACTGACTGGTAGTTTTCCGCCTTGCTTATACTATACATGCCACGGTTCTGGAAATTCTGTGTAACATTGTGTCATGTAACAAAAATCTAATATGACCGCTTATCGTTAGGTGCCTTTAGAACGAATCTTCTCATATAAAGAATATATGCGTTTGGCTAAAGCGGCCACTCGAACTATTCACCACAGCTTGAAAACGTTTAATTTTGAAACAAGGCAACTTTCAGATTCCATTACATCATGGTCTATGCTATAGCTTTCTGAAGAAGATGTTCTGAGTTCACTGCGGGAGAAAGTCTAACGAGTAGGACGCAGTGAAGGGGTCAGTATTTTCGAAACCATGCAAGCAGTCGCTCCGCTACCGATGTGAGTTTGGACAGGGTAGGTGTCAAATATGTATTTGTATTGTGTAACCAAGTTGTATTACATATTCTACTCAATAACCATATTTCCTATATCGATAATAACTATATTTAGTTAGTTACTGCAGAACAGATCCGTTGACACTTTCATTTTTACATTGTGAAGCCATTGCTGCAGGAGCTCTGACATCATCGCGTTGCTTGGGGCTACAATGTCAATACGACACGTGTAATTATGTACAACACGGCCGCACTTTGACCTGTCCATCACATACCATAGAGGCGATGCTGATTACTATATTCGGACATGCTAACCCTATAGTATTTCATTTCATACCATTATTATTACAGGATCTGACTAAGATTAGCCATATTTGCACTGTGCCACCTGTCGGTTTTCGTGGACCGTTGCTGATTCTATCAGATTCAGGGTTTGAATATAATATTTGAAGATAATATATAAAAAACTAATATCTTTCAATTTTGTATATATTAACTGAATACTTGTCTCCGGTTTCAAAATGGTGGTATACATCAACATACGTTCGTGTGTCTGGTAGGAATATGGCATATAGCTACTTCACGCGTATGGCTGGTTCAATATGGCATATACCTACTTCACATGTATGGCTGGTTCAATATGGCATATACCTACTTCACACGTATGGCTGGTTCAATATGGCATATAGCTATTTCACGCGTATGGCTGGTTCAATATGGCATATACCTACTTCACATGTATGGCTGGTTCAATATGGCATATACCAACTTCACACGTATGGCTGGTTCAATATGGCATATAGCTATTTCACGCGTATGGCTGGTTCAATATGGCATATACCTACTTCACACGTACGACTGGTTCAATATGGCATATACCTACTTCACACGTATGACTGGTTCAATATGGCATATACCTACTTCACGCGTATGACTGGTTCAATATGGCATATACCTACTTCACACGTATGACTGGTTCAATATGGCATATACCTACTTCACACGTATGACTGGTTCAATATGGTGTATACCTACTTCACACGTTCGACTGGTTCAGTATGGCATATACCTACTTCACACGTACGACTGGTTCAATATGGTGTATACCTACTTCACACGTACGACTGGTTCAATATGGTATATACCTACTTCACGCGTATGGCTGGTTCAATATGGTGTATACCTACTTCACACGTACGACTGGTTCAATATGTTATATAAACTTCTTCACACGTATGCCTGGTTCAATGTGGTGTATACCAACTTCACACGTATGGCTGGTTCAATATGGCATATACCAACTTCACACGTATGGCTGGTTCAATATGGTGTATACCTACTTCACCCGTATGGCTGGTTCAATATGGCATATAGCTATTTCACGCGTATGGCTGGTTCAATATGGCATATACCTACTTCACACGTACGACTGGTTCAATATGGCATATACCTACTTCACACGTATGACTGGTTCAATATGGCATATACCTACTTCACGCGTATGACTGGTTCAATATGGCATATACCTACTTCACACGTACGACTGGTTCAATATGGCATATACCTACTTCATACGTATGACTGGTTCAATATGGTGTATACCAACTTCACACGTACGACTGGTTCAATACGGTATATACCTACTTCACACGTACGACTGGTTCAATATGGTGTATACCTACTTCACCCGTACGACTGGTTCAATATCGTGTATACCTACTTCACATGTATGGCTGGTTCAATATGGTGTATACCTACTTCACACGTACGACTGGTTCAATATGGTATATACCTACTTCACACGTATGGCTGGTTCAATATGGTGTATACCTACTTCACACGTATGACTGGTTCAATATGGTGTATACCAACTTCATACGTACGACTGGTTCAATATGGTGTAAACCTACTTCACACGTATGGCTGGTTCAATATGGTGTATACCAACTTCATACGTATGACTGGTTCAATATCGTGTATACCTACTTCACACGTATGGCTGGTTCAATATGGTATATACCAACTTCATACGTATGACTGGTTCAATATCGTGTATACCTACTTCACACGTATGGCTGGTTCAATATGGTGTATACCAACTTCATACGTATGACTGGTTCAATATCGTGTATACCTACTTCACACGTATGGCTGGTTCAATATGGTATATACCAACTTCATACGTATGACTGGTTCAAGTATAAAAGGTATCAATATGGTGTTAATCAACTTAACAGGTATAACTGATATCAATATGGTATATACCAACTTAACACGTATAATTGGTATCAATATGGTGTGTATCAACTTAACACGTATTATTGATATCAATATGGTGTGTATCAACTTAAAGGGTATAATTGGTATCAATATGGTGTGTATCAACTTAAAGGGTATAGTTGGTATCAATATGGTGTGTATCAACTTAACACGTATTATTGATATCAATATTGTGTGTATCAACTTAAAGGGTATAATTGGTATCAATATGGTGTGTATCAACATAACACGTATAATTGGTATCAATATGGCATATATCAACTTAAAGGGTATAATTGGTATCAATATGGTGTGTATCAACTTAACACGTATAATTGGTATCAATGTGGTATATATCAACTTAACACGTATAATTGGTATCAATGTGGTATATACCAACTTAACACGTATAATTAGTATCAATATGGTGTGTATTAACTTAACACGTATAATTGGTATCAATGTGGTATATATCAACTTAACACGTATAATTGGTATCAATGTGGTATATACCAACTTAACACGTATAATTAGTATCAATATGCTGTGTATCAACCTAACACGTATAATTGGTATCAATGTGGTATATATCAACTTAACACGTATAATTGGTATCAATGTGGTATATACCAACTTAACACGTATAATTAGTATCAATATGGTGTGTATCAACTTAACACGTATAATTGGTATCAATATGGTGTGTATCAACTTAACGCGGATATCCAGTATTGTATATATCGATTTAACGCGTGTGCCTGGTGTCTTTATCGACATATAACAGTTCTTGCATATACATGCAAAATACTATTTCTGAAAACACATATCTTGTATATGCAGAATTACTTATTTATGTATACACATTTGGACATATATAGAATCGCATATATTCAGAATAGCTTATTTCTGTCGCCTATGTGGACATATCTAGAATTTGACACGTATTTTATGCAGTATACAGAATATCCTATTTCTGTATACACATATGGACACATATGGAATCTTATATATACAGAATTAACTACTTCTTGAAACACATATATACATCACAAACACTACTACTACTACTACTTCTACTACTACTACTACTACTACTACTACTACTACTACTGCTGCTGCTGTTGTTACTATCACTACCTCTACAACTGACACGCAATCTGCCGTTACGTCGTGTGTAAACTTGATACAAGTTTATGACTTGAGATATCTTTATTATAGACAATCAGAGTGTTTACATACACTAGTGTAAACTGGAGAATGTAACAACTCCGTTTGTTTTATCAAAGTTGTTACCTATATAAATAGACAAAGTTTATCTAAGCCATGTTTAGAGTATTATTTTTATTATGCATTTACACAGACAATTATATTTAATTGGATCCACGTTGCAGGCTGAACTTTCGATGACTGCCTCCACGCGGGCGGCGTCATTTGTCAACGTCCCAACCTATTTACACTGGATCAGTCAATATATAGCACTCCAGATGCCCGCCATTTATTTATTTATTCATTTATTTATTTATTTATTTATTTATTTATTTATTTATTTATTTATTTATTTATTTATTTATTTATTTATTTATTTATCATTCATTCATTCATTCATTCATTCATTCATTCATTTGTTTATTTGTTTACTTTTGTTATATCACATCATCCTTCATTTATACATTCAGTCAGTGATGTTGCGAGATAATCCTACTTAGTTGTGGCCTTACAGATATGCATTAAATACATGTATCCAACAGGTCGTCGCGAAACACTTGCAAAGCCCCTAAGGAAACTGACCACACCTGGCTGACAGTGGCTGACCACACCTGCTTGACGACAGTCCCTACGGCTGACCACTGGAGCCCTAACAAAGAACGATCACTATACTCGTCCAACATCATGGCGAAACAAAACCCCTTCTCTGTCATGTTCTCACCTTCAATCTAATCACGTGTATGGCTTACTGGAGCATCGGGCTGTGGAATATAATATAAAGCCAATTAACTAACCAATCTTCCACTGGCGTTTTCCCCTGCTTCCGTCAAACTTCGATTTCTACTCACGATTGCGCTATCAAATTAATATTGCCTCATTTGACTGTCAATGGCGTGTTCCGCCATGGATTGGCTGAGTAATACTCTTAAAGACCCCCTTCAGCCCCAGAGACGACAAATCTCTGCTAAGGTATCTAAAACAATCTGTGACAATTACACACGCAGAAAGTTGGATATCTTTAGCCCTCCCTCCATTCCGCATCCGCTAACCCAGGCCGAGTATTTAGAAGCTATACGTCACACACGCGCCTCTCTTTTGAACGCGTGTTGTTTTATTGGTGACGTCGAGCCACTCGCTGCAAGGACAGCCCAACAGTGCTATATAGATAGGTGATTCTCAACAGCTGCTTACTGTAAATGCATTTCACACGGGCTTTATCTATGTAATGTATCAAATGTGCCTAGGAGTAGTCAGCGCCTTCCACTCCGATAACACTACGTCGACCAGTTACTTTCCGAAAAGTGTTTTGGAAGAGTCTTTCGAGTGGCTGGCCCGTGGAGAGTATTATGACCAAAGGAGTTGTGTTACTCCCGCTACTATTATGTATATATTTTGTACATAATGTAGATAGTGATTCTCACTTTGTTAACGAGTGGGCAGCACATATAAATGGAGGCTACGACCAGGCAAGGAGGGTCGCCGAACAACATGGTTACGAAATTGTGAGAGAAGTGAGTAAAATTTTTGTTTTCCATCAAATAGTTATCACTTATAAACTCTGTTGATGATGTAGGGATATTACCGTATTTCACAACAAACCTATGTCACCCCACAGCTGTTACCGTTATCTTGTTAATCTTTTCAACAGCTCCGGCGGAGATACACATGAATATGGATAATTTTCAAAATATATTGGTCGGAAAATGAATATCATGGTAGCAATGTTTCAGTTGCTGATATTACAGGTCTTATCAATGACTATTTTATTAAACTCCATGATACATTTATGCTATATACGAGCGACACTGAATCAGTTCGGTTTCATTGTCAGCCATTTGCTGCAATTTGCCCTCAATTATAACTGACATTTTCCCTGTATATCGGAAACGATTCGGAGACCTATTACCGGTGGCAAGAAATACGACATGTTAGTGTAGCCTTTCCAGTCCAACCCTTCACACAATAAACAATCACAGATGAAAATTGGACCACATGGGACAAGCATATGACTAGGTTTGGGTCAAATAACCGAACATGTGGACGGATAAACTGATCTGTTTCTTTAGGATTAATCGGGTAACCTTACCGTCATATCAGCAAATATCATAGCTTGTATACAATATAGACAGGTTTGTTGAAAAAATACATTTTCTGTGGAAAAAAACAGCAAATGTTATCCAACATATGGTCACTTTTGTAATGACATCTGTATATTGTATAATTCTTTTTGTCAATGGAATGATGTTATGTTTCATTCAATCTCAAGAATTAATTTAGCTGAAGATACATATCATGCAGGGAAAAGAATAAAAAGCAGATAAATCGAAAGAATACAGAGTCAAGAAAATTGATTCTATTGAACTAGCATGTTGTCGTTGTTTTCAGCAATAACAGTCAGATAACTTCAGTATACAGGATTCTTCTTTAATCCCACATGTAAAACTACACGAGAACCCTCATATTTTTTAAAAACGGGTCAGAACTTGATAAAGCGATGTTCCTGTTTACCACCTACATACGACATGCCACTCCAGCTATTCAAACACTTCCATGCTGATTTGGTCTATAGACGGACATTTTTTGAAGGAGAAGAAATTGCTGAACACGGTATTTTTGTGATATCAGTAACCCAATACTCTCTCTCGAGGACATACTATTCTACACAGTCTCTGGATTTTATTCTTTGATTGTTTCTTTGTTTGTTTGATGTTTTTAACGCCGCACTTAGCACTATTCCAGTTATATGATGCGATCTGTAAATAATCGAGTCTGGGCTAGACAATCCAGTGATACAGTAATGGCACATAGACATATCATTGAGTACTGACACATGGACGTATCATTCAGTAATGACACATGGACACATCGTTCAGTAATGATACTTTGACATGACATCCAGTACTGGCACATTGGCATGTCATTCACTTATGGCATATTGACATGACATCCACTTACGACACAGTGATATGTCATTGATTAATGACACATTGACATGTCATTGAGTAATGACACATTGACATATCATTGAGTAATGACACATTGACATGTCATTCAGTAATGACACAGTGGCATGTCATTCACTAATGACACATTGACATGTCATTCACTAATGACACATTGACATGTCATTCAGTTATGACACATTGACATGTCATTCAGTAATGACACCTTAACATGTCATTCAGTAATGACACATTGACATGTCATTCAGTAATGACACAGTGGCATGTCATTCACTAATGACACATTGACATACTCAGTAATAACATAAATGGACATAGCATTCGGTCATGACACATTGACATGTCATTCAGTAATGACACGCGAACATACCATTCAGTCCTGTCAACGACACAAGTCAGTATACAGTATACGCACCCAGTGCCAATGGTGGCATTATATGACATTCTCCGTATTGTGGTTACACGTATACAACACGATTAACAAAACTCCAACAGCTGTCAGTTATATCGTTATATAAAAGATCAAAGCTACCTTTCATAAAATCGGAAAGTTTTGAATGATATAAAAGGTATATTACATCCTGTATAGGAGGATTGGAATATATAGCACACATATATAAATGCACGTCTTGTTCAATGCCATGACTGTCAACACAAATCAAGTATTCAGATGAGGAAGAGTAGTGATGCTGATAAACAATGAAGATAAATGACACATACATGGTCACTAAGAAGCAGCAGCAACTTCAGCAGCATACGTTGCTGTTAAGAGTTGTCCACGTTTATTGTTGTAAACCCTAAGAGATACTGTGTGTATGTTAATTAATGTACAACACACCGAAAAGGAACAAAGACTCTATCTAGGAATATGAAACACATATTTAATATCAGATTATATATTTTTTGGTTGATAGTGATGCCATATGTTTCGTATATATTTGCATACACACATATATATCTAACAAAGTTTATTCATTACGGCTAAATTCATAAAAAAATTAATTATCTGCATATGTAGTTCTCTCATGATGACGTCGACGTACGTCATTATCATAGTATACACTCCATGTTTCAATGATCAACATACGCCATATGTATTATGTATGCCCCTATATGGTATACACCCTCCCACGTTCGGTATACATCCTCCTCTGAACAGGATCTATCGCCTGGGTGTAGATCTCCCAACAGATACTCTCAGTAATGATATATGTATGTCAACAGGACGAGCTATTTCTCCATGAAGTGTTAATAGTGTACTGGGCTAACTGTGCAATGACGTGCGCACAACTACGCAAAAATGCACATGTGTGTATGGTGCTTATTTTATTCATAACATGGCGGTGACTTTCATGTGAAACCATGAACTGCGTCTATAAAGCTGTAATTTCATATTCCATTTAATTTGATTAGACACGAGAGACAGTATCAACGTATGGAAAAGTATTTCACATTATGTTTGAATAAAAAAACGTTATTATTATTATCCTTCGTGCCAGGACGTGAGAACGCTGTGAACAGATGGCATGAAGCATTAATGTACAGCCGCCGACATGTTAGGAATTTTGCCCTTGCCGTCTAAACCAACTGTCACAAAAAATGACCGGGATGAAATCAGAAATAGTTAAACTAGATCCCACTTTACAATATGTCAGGTCAAAATCGATACGTATCGATGTACACGCTTAATGGAATTTATGTTAAAACATTCAAATCATCCTTGCCACGAGGTATACAAATACTATTGTCCTTAATGAAAATACATTACCACAAGCGGAAATTTTTTTTGGGTGATAGTTTGAAAGTTATATGAAAGAATATTTTAATCATTTCCTAATGTATGACACACGTCTAGCCTGGCTGTCACCGAGACCCGGATGTGCTACCGCAACATGGAGGTCTCGCCTCCCTCGCACTGTAGCAGTGTACGATAATGACGGACAGATCTTACAAAAGATTGGGACAGATTTAAAAGCTTATGTCAGGCCGTGAGTGGAATGGTGGTCGTGCTGCTCTGATTTCTGACACAAAACACAAACTTCAAAGCTGACATTATCATTTGATATTGTAGATTCCCGATTGCATGCAGCTTTAAATTAGGCAATAAATATGCAACATGATTCAGCAAGGATGAAACGGGCATCACTGACGTGTCTTCAGAAGGTACATGTCTTGTGTGGAACATGAATACATGACACTTTTTACGGATAGTAACTTCTAATATTCTTTGTCACGACGTTTCAGAGCTGAAGTAGAAGTACCGTAAGTCCCCAGTAGTATGGTGGCTCAACTTTGGTTGCTGGTGATCTAGAGCTCATTTTTATTATGTATTGTAATTAATAGTCATACTTTAAGATTACATGCTAGTTTTATATACAAATCTGTGATACTCTAGTTGTTTTACTGTCCATTGCCGACAGATTTTTATAAACTCTGAATGCATTTACTCTTGAACTATATATTGGTCTCGTCACAATCTAGCTGAAATATTGCCGATGTGACGTTAAATATTAACTCACTCACTCACGTTTCAGAGCTACTTCTTGCTCCTCCATCAGGTGAATGCTGAGTGAGTGAGAATGTGTGTGTGTGTTTACACAACAAAAGGTGGCATGAATGTAGAAAGATAACAATATAATGACAAAGCCAATGAGATAGAATTAATGTACTAGGACAACATTATAATGACAAAGCTAATAAGATTAACAGGAGAGGATTCAAATAGGTACACTGAAGGCGTAGGGATGACAAGGGGCTGGCTCTTGTGACACAACCAATACGGCAATCAACATTTCCATAGTAGTTGATGATGTGATTATAGCACAGTAGAGTACACACAGGTAGATACTTGGTCTCTGTTAATGGCTGGCTTCGTTCTTTGGATTTCAATGCTTTCTTGAAATTGCCTTTTTTTCCAAATGACTGATGTTGGTACTGAGAATCTTGGTTTGTGGCCAGGAAATTTGGTGGTCAGGATCTATGATGAGATGTTCCGAAAAAGTAGATGTCATTTTATGCTGGTGGCTATGGGGCGTGAAATCATTCAAATGTATTTGTGTTCACAGTTGTGTAATATATATATATTATTAGACGCAAGAAGTAGCTCTGAAACGTCTTGACAAAGAATTAAAAAAAGTTAGTATCCACAAAAATTGTCATGTATTAATGTTCTTCCAACTTGTAAATGCCTATCAAAGACTTGTAAAGAAGAGGTGACATGACCGTTTAGAAAACAACAACACACGAACTGTGGAGGACACACGCCGACAGGTGGCAGTACATGTGTATGGAGAAATGTCAGACTCTTATGGATGTGAGACACTACATGTAACATGCATATATATTATACACGGAAATGATGTATTAGAAACGTGGGTATGTTATACACTAACATCATATGCTAGAAACGTCCATATGTTATACACTGACATGACATGCTAGAAACGTACATGTGTTATACACTGACATGACATGTTAGAAACGTCCATATGTTATACACTGACATGACATGCTAGAAACGTCCATATGTTATACACTGACATGCTATG